TGTTTCCATACAAATTTTAGGATTGTTTCTTCTAGCTCTGTGAAGAATGCTCGTGTTATTTTGATAGGAATTGCATTGAATATGTAGATTGCTTTGGGTAGTATCGACATTTTAACAATATTTGTTCTTCCTATCCAGGAACATGGAATCTTTTTCCATTTTTTTGTGTCTTCTTCAATTTCTTTCATAAGCTTTCTATAGTTTTCAGTGTATAGATTTTTCATCTCTTTGGTTAGATTTATTCCTCGGTATTTTATGGTTTTTGGTGTGATTCCTTGATTTCTCTTTCTGTTGCTTCATTGTTGGTGTATAGGAATGCAACTGATTTCTGTGTAGTGATTTTATATCCTGCAACTTTGCTGAATTCATGACTCAGTTCTAGCAGTTTTTTGGTGGAATCTTTTGGGTTTTCCATATACAGTGTCATGTCATCTGCAAAGAGTGAAAGTTTGACCTCCTCCTGGCCAGTCTGGATGCCTTTTATTTCTTTGTGTTGTGATTGCTGAGGCTAAGACTTCCAATACTACGTTGAATAACAGTGGCGAGAGTGGACATCCCTGTCTTGTTCCTGACCTTAGAGGGAAAGCTCTCAGTTTTTCCCCATTGAGGATGATATTAGCGCTGGGTCTTTTATATATGGCTTTTATGATCTCGAGGTATGATCCTTTCCCTATTTTCTTGAGGGTTTTTATCAAGAAAAGATGATGTATTTTGTCAAATGCTTTCTCTGCATCTATTGAGAGCATCATGTGGTTCTTGTCCTTTCTTTTATTGATGTGATGAATCACATCGATTATTTTGTGGATATTGAACCAGCCCTGCATCCCAGGTATAAATCCCACGTGGTCGTGGTGAATTTTTTTAATGTATTGTTGGAGCCGGTTGGCTAATATCTTGTTGAGGATTTTTGCATTCATGTTCATCAGGGAAATTGGTCTGTAGTTCTCCTTTTTAGTGGGGTCTTTGTCTGGTTTTGGAATCAAGGTAATGCCGGCTTCATAGGAAGAATTTGGAAGTTTTCCTTCCATTTCTATTTTTTGGAATAGCTTCAAGAGAATAGGTGTTAACTTTTCCTTAAATGTTTGGCAGAATTCCCTGGAAAGCCATCTAAACCTGGACTCTTGCTTTTTGGGAGATTTTTGATTGCTAATTTGATTTCTTTACTGGTTATGGGTCTTTTCAAATTTTCTATTTCTTCCTGCTTCAGTTTTAGTAGTGTATATGTTTCTAGGAATTTGTCTATTTCTTCCAGATTGCCCATTTTATTGTCGTATAATTGCTCACAATATTCTCTTATTATTGTTTGTATTTCTGCAGTGTTGGTTGTGATCTCTCCTCTTTCATTCTTGATTTTATTTATTTGGGTCCTTTCCTTTTTCTTTTTGATCAAACTAGCTAGTAGTTATCAATTTTGTTAATTCTTTCAAAGAAGCAGCTTCTGGTTTCACTGATCTGTTCTACTGTTTTGTTTTGTTTTTTTTTGGCATTAATTTCTGCTCTCATCTTTATTATTTCCTGTCTTCTGCTGGTTTTGGGTTTATTTGCTGTTCTTTTTCCAGCTCTTTAAGGTGTAAGGTTAGGTTGTGTATCTGAGACCTTTCTTCCTTCTTTAGGAAGGCCTGGATTGCTATCTACTTGCCTCTTATGACCACCTTTGCTGCGTCCCAGAGGTTTTGGGCTGTGGTGTTATCATTTTCATTGGTTTCCATGTACTTTAAAAAAATTATTTTTAATGTTTATTATTGAGAGACAGAGAGAGGCAGAACATGAGCATGGGAGGGACAGAGAGAGGGGGAGACACAGAATCTGAAGCAGGCTCCAGGCTCTGAGCTATCAGCACAGAGCCCGACACGGGGCTCGAACTCATAAACCGTGAGATCATGACCTGAGCCGAAGTCAGATGCTTAACTGACTGAGCTACCCAGGCGCCCCTCCACGTACTTTTATTATTTTTTTTTTTAATGTTTATTTACCTTTGAGACAGAGAGAGACAGAGTGCGAGTGGTGGAAGGGTAGAGAGAGAGAGGGAGACACAGAATCCGAAGCAGGCTGCAGGCTCCTAGCTGTTAGCCCAGAGCCTGACGCGGAGCTTGAACTCTCCAGCCATGAGATCATGACCTGAGCTGATGTTGGCCGCCCAACTGACTGAGCCACCTAGGTGCCCCAGCTTCCTTGTATTTTTTAATTTCCTCTTTAACTTCTTAGTGAGCTCATTCATTCTTTAGTAGGATGTTCTTTAGTCTCCAAGTATTTGTTACCTTTCCAAATTTTTTCTTGTGGTTGATTTCGAGTTTCAAAGCGTTGTGGTCTGAAAATATGCACGGTATGATCTTGATCTTTTTGTACTTGTTCAGGGCTGATATCTGTCACAGTATGTGGTCTATTCTGGAGAACGTTCCATGTGCACTGGGGAAGAGTGTATATTCAGCTGCTTTAGGAAGAAATGTTCAGAATATATCTGTTCAGTCCATCTGGTCCAGTGTGTCATCCAAAGCCGTTGTTTCCTTGTTGACTTTTTGATTAGGTGATCTGTCCATTGTTGTGAGTGGGGTATTGAAGTCTCTTACTATTATGGTATTACTATCGATGAGTTTCTTTATGTTTGTGATTGATTGATTTACATATTTGGGTGTTCTAAGTTGGGGCATAGATATTTCCAATTGTTAGATCTTTGTGGTGGATAGATCCCTTAATTATAATATAATGCCCTTCTTCATCTTTTGTTACAAACTTTGTTTAAAAATCTAGTTTGTCTGATATCAATATGGCTACTCTGGCTTTCTTTTGGTGACCATTAGCATGATAGATGGTTCTCCATCCCCTAACTTTCAATCTGAAGGTGTCTTTAGGTCTAAAGTGGGTCTCTTGTAAACAGCATATTGATGGATCTGGTTTTCTTATCCATTCTATTGCCCTATGTCTTTTGATTGGGGCATTGAGTCCATTGACGTTTACAGTGAGTGAGTACTGAAAGATATGAGTTTATTGCCATTATGTTGCTTGTGGAGTTGGAGTTTCTGGTGGTGTTCTCTGGCCCTTTCCAGTCTTTGTTGCTTTTGGTATTTATTTATTTATTTATTTATTTATTTATTTATTTAGTCTTTTCTCCCCTCAGAGAGTCCCCCTTACAATTTCTTGTAGGGCTGGTTCAGTGGTCACGAACTCCTTTAATTTTTGTTTGGGAAACTTTTAATCTCTCCTTCTATTTTGAATGACAGCCTTGCTGGATAAAGAATTGTTGGCTGCATATCTTTCTGATTTAGCACATTGAATATATCCTGCCACTCCTTTCTGGCCTGCCAAATTTCTGTGGATAGGTCTGCTGCAAACCTGATCTGTCTTCCCTGGTAGGTTAAGGATTTTTTTCCCTTGCTGCTTTCATGATTCTTTCCTTGCCTGAGTATTTTGTGAATTTGACTATGACAGGCCTTGTTGATGGTTGGTTTTTATTGAATCTTATGGGAGTCCTCTGTGTTTCCTGGATTTTGATGTCTGTGTCTTTCCTGAGGTTAGGAAAGTTTTCTGCTATGATTTGCTTACAGAACCCTTCTACCCCTTTTTCTCTCTCCTCATCTGCTGGGACCCCTATGATTCTGATGTTGTTCCTTTTTAATGAGTTACCGATTTCTCTAATTCTTAAATTTTGCTCCTTTGCCTTAGCCTCCCTCTTTTTTTTCTGCTTCATTATTCTCCATGTTTGTCCTCTATATCGTTGATTCTCTGTGCTGCCTCATCCATCCTTGCCACTGTGGCATCCATTGGAGATTGCAGCTCAGTTATAGCATTTTTTATTTCATCCTGAGTAGCTTTTACTTCTTTTGTTTCTGCAGAAAGGGATTCTAATCTATTTTCGACTCCAGCTGGTATTCTTATTATCATAATTCTAAATTCTGGTTCAGACATCTTGCTTGTATCTGTGTTGGTTAAGTCCCTGGCTGTCGTTTCTTCCTGTTCTTTCTTTGGGGCGAATTGCTTCTTTTCATCATTTTGAAGGGAGAAAAGGAATTAATGAGATAAAAAAATAAAAGAAATTAAAATTAAAAAATTGAAAACAACACACACACACAAACACAAATCAAGTAGATGATGCTAGATCCTAGGCATGTTTTGGTCTCGGTGTTGAAAGGGGGTTGATAGACTCGAGAAAAAAAGGGGAAAGGAAAAAAAAAAGGAAATTGTTGGAAAATTTGAAAAGATGAATACACTGAAATAGAATAAAATGAAATGATGGAAGTAAAATAGAATTCGAAAAAATTTACACCAAAGTAAAAAAAAATACAGTAGAAAAAAATTAGAGGAAAATATTTTCAATAAAAATTGAAAACATGGGGCGCCTGGGTGGCGCAGTCGGTTAAGCGTCCGACTTCAGCCAGGTCACGATCTCGCGGTCCGTGAGTTCGAGCCCCGTGTCAGGCTCTGGGCTGATGGCTCAGAGCCTGGAGCCTGTTTCCAATTCTGTGTCTCCCTCTCTCTCTGCCCCTCCCCCATTCAAGCTCTGTCTCTCTCTGTCCCCCCAAAAATAAATAAACGTTAAAAAAAATTTAAAAAAAAATTGAAAACAAAAATAATTTTTTTCTTTCTGTATTCAAGAAAAAGAAAAGAAATGAAAAAGAGAAAAAAAGAAACAAAATTGAATAGATGGACCAGTGAACAGACTGAAATACGATTGAAATTACTTTGTTTTCCTGTAGAAGTCAAACTATGATTTCTTTCCAGTCCGGAAACTAAGCAAGCGGAGAGATTTGTGTTCCTGAAGAGCGAGGTTAGTCCGGTTGGGCGGGGCTTAGTGTAACGGCTCCGTTCTCCACTAGATGGCGCTGCTTAGCTTACTGGGGTGGGTTGTTGTGGCGCTTGTAGGTGCGTATGCGCACGCGCGGGAATGGTGGCGATGGTGTTGCCCGGCTACCTGCTCTCTAGTATTGAACTCCCTTCTTCCGGATTAGTTTAGCAATCCTGCACCTGCCCTTTGTCTTCGGCTTCCGTCCACTCCCCGCTTTTACACCATCTGCAACCGAGCCCCAGGCAGCACCTCCCTCCTGAGTTTTATCTCAGATGCGGCTGTGTCTCCACCCCTTACTTCTGAGGGACCGCGGCTCTGACCCTTTCTGCCCCTCTGCGGAGGGTCTCACCGAGCAATGGCCGGGTGCCGGCCATACCCGGGAACGTTCGAGGGACCGTGCTGCTGCCGACGCCCCGAGACTGCCGCCGGGGGCCAGCCCGCCCCAGAGAAAGTTTGCGCCACGTGTAGCAGCCTCCTTTCTGGGATTATGGGAAATCACCACACGCATCTGGCACCGGGCTCCGCCCCCAGCGACCTTGTTCCAGCACCAGCGAATGTGGCCGTTCTCCCGGGTCCGCCGGGGTCTTTGCCTGTGCGGGGGCCAGGCTGCCTCTACCAGGTGGCCTCCCAGCGGGGGAACCGCCTCTCCCGTGTGGCCCGAAGCCCCCCGGACTCCACTCTGCTCCTGGGGATTCGCCCTTCCCACCCGAGCGCCGCCAGGTATGGAGCTGCGGAGTTTCAGCCTCTGCTCCCCCTGTTTACAGAGTCTTCAGGGAATTTACAGCCTCTCCTTTCTCCCTTTTTAGTCCAGTCCCTGCGGCTGTTTCTACTTTTCCGCTTTCTCTCCAGCTGCTTTTGCTGGGGGGGGGGGGGGGCTTTTCGGTCTTTTCCCCCCCCCCCCCCCCCACCTCCATCCTCTCTCTGCACCCAAAAGTGGCTCCCTGCCCTCCCGCCTTCTCTCTCCCCCAGTTCACCTGTCTGCGCCGCGTACCTGCTGAGTTCGGTGGTTCAGGTGGCGCAGATTGTTGTGTGAATCCTCGGATCCGTTTTCTAGGTGTGCAGGACGGTTTAGTGTTGGTCTGGTTGTATTTCAGGGACGCGAGAGACACACACACAAACTTCCCTTGCTGTTCCGCCATCTTGGCTCCTCCCCCGATGAATTTTTATTTTACACCAGTTTATCCTTTTTTTGATTTTCTTTATACGTGAAAGAAGTGTATACATTTATCCATTAAAGTCATTTATACATTAAAGAAGATTTCAAAACCACGCACACAGCTTTAATTTCATCACCTTCGCAGAATTATTTGCATTAGCTTTTTTCCTTGCTCATCTTTGTAAATTTTAATTAGTTAATTTAATTAATCATTTAAAAAAAAATAGTGTCCACTCTGTCTAGTCTTTCTGTGCACACTACTTTTTTCAACTCATAAAAGCTTCTATGGAGGCCAATATGAGTTACATAGTCAGGCAACATCTCCTTCAATCTCTCTGAGCTAGAATCTGAAGGTGACAAGGTGGTGATTTCCACAGAAGACCTGTGATGAGTGGTCTTGGGGGCCATTCTCCTACATGCGGTGGTTGGTAGCTTGTGAAGGTCTTATGACCTGTAAGGATCAGAGTTTAGTCAGAAGTCAGCGTTCTCAAAATGGGAAGGACTGAGATGAGAGCGACATGAATGAACCCAGTTTCCATCTGGCACATGCCGGCCGAGAGCCGTGGGGAACCTTGGTAGAACGGCATAAAATAGTGGCATAAAAGGAAAAGAGATCCACCCCCTCCCCCCAGAACTTTAGCAACAAGAAATTAATTCTCTATCCATCTACTCTAAGAGGGATCCTCGGTGAGATTAAAACTCGTCCGGAGAAACTTACTCCAAAAGACTTCCTGAAATTTCAAGCCAGTGTATACTCTCCATTGCGGATGTGGGTTGGTGCGGGATACTCAGAACCCCTATTATCAGGGTGCTGGGCGTGTTGTCTATGTCCTTTGTGTGTGCAAGAGATTGAAGGGCTCCCTGTCAGGCAGGTGAAGGACCCCACACAGAACGGGAGTGGAGAAAGAGTAAGGAGCTCAAAGAGAGTAGAAGGCACCTTCCAATTCAGGCCATAAAATGTCAGGGGACTGTATTACTTTGCTCCGGATGCCATCACAGAGTACAGAGCCCCGGGGGATTTAAACAACAGAAATTTATCTTCCCACATCTCTTGAGGCCTACAGGCCCAAGACCAGGCGTCGGTAGGGTTGATTTCTTTGGAGCCCTCTCTCCCTGTGTCTTCACATGCCCTCCCTCAATGCATGTTGTGTCCCTAATCTCTCTCCTTGTAAGGACACCAGTCATCTTCCATTTGGACCCACTCTGATGATCTCATTTTAACTTCATTACCTCCTTAAAGACGCTGTCTCCACATAAAGCCACATTCTGAAGTACGAGACTTTAGAACTTCAGCAGAGGAATTGTTGGAAAGACACAGCTCAGTCCATAGCGGGGCGGGGGGGGGAGGGGCTGCAATCCAAGGCACAGTATTGGTGGGATTGATGGTGAACCGGTTTGTCCAGCGGACCCCCTCTGTTAACTTGTGTCAGTCTGGGCATCTCCAAGAAGCAGAGGCCAAGATGGAATGACACGTGCCAGAATTTTATTAAGGAAATGCCTGGGAGGAAAAAAAAGAGGAAGAAGTCAGAAAGTCTGAGAGATCAGTCAAATCAAAATGCGGGTCTGATCCCAAGCGAGGGAGAAGAGGAGAGAAAGGTGGGGGAAGCTTCTTAGACTGCCGCGAGCATAAGGAATGTTCAAGAAGGCCTTTGAGAGTCCCCCGGCCAAGGCCAGCTTCCAGAGGGGTCCTGTGTCTCTCAGGAGCGCCAGTGCGTTAGCATCCCTGCCGCACTTGGTCATGGCTGGGAGCAGCGTGCACGTGCGTGGATTTCAGAACTCAGGCGCTGGGACCCTGGTCCTGTAAGGACGATCCCTAAGGATCGTCTTGCTGGACCGTACACAGGCGTGAATAGTTACCCCGGCAGGTGCTAACCGTGAGTTTAACAAAAAAACAAATTCGGGGGAAAAATGTCAAACTACTTAGACCTCAAACGAAGGAGGTAAAAGGAGCAACAGGGAAAAAGAGCTCCAGGCAACGTGGTTGAAGCTTTTGTTTTGACTGAGAACGGTACCCTTAGCACCATTCTGATCCACATTCTCCGTCCTCGATTCTCTCCGCCCACCTCCTAAGATACTAACCGGCAGTTCCAGATATTTTAGCTTCGGTCACAGGTTATAATTCTTTCTGTTGCTCCCAAAGGCTACTACCTTGTATATTTTTTTCCTTGGGGAGAAGAGGGAATCCCACCCATGGTGCCACTTGTTGGTTGTAGGGACTTGGGCAGATTCCTCCTGGAGCCTCCCTTGCCTCATTGAAAAATGGTAAATACTTCCTGCCTGGCACGGATATTGTGAAAATGAAGGGACGTAATACATGCGTGTGCTTCTCAGGACATGTGACACGTGCTCTTTTCAAGGCTTGGTGACTTGGGTCTGTGGCTTCCAAGCTCAAGGCCGAGAGAAGGAAGGCTGGGGAGGTTAGCAAATCAATTGTTAATCCATGATGCGCGATTTCAGGATCTTTTGGGATGCGTTTTGTAGGAAATATCTTTAGTCCACTCCATTTTCCCATCGACCTCGGACCCAGGTAGTCTGTTAAGCATCCGCCGTCTCCTGCTATGACAGAGGGAATTTTCTCAAGAGCTTTCGTGTCTGTTGGAAGGGGGCAGGGCAGGGTTTGGCTGCAGCATTTCTGAAGGCGACATCACAGACACTCTGGAGCTGGCTTTGCAGGTCGCTGTTTAGCATATTAATACACCTGGCACTGAAAGGACATCAGGGACTTCTGATTGTCTTTTTTAAAAAAAAAAATTTTTTTTTTCAACGTTTATTTATTTTTGGGACAGAGAGAGACAGAGCATGAACGGGGGAGGGGCAGAGAGAGAGGGAGACACAGAATCGGAAACAGGCTCCAGGCTCCGAGCCATCAGCCCAGAGCCCGACGCGGGGCTCGAACTCACGGACCGCGAGATCGTGACCTGGCTGAAGTCGGACGCTTAACCGACTGCGCCACCCAGGCGCCCCTGATTGTCTTTTTTTACTTTGAATCTGATTCTGTGGACCCGCTCCTGTAGAACAAGGGAAGCGCTTTTTCTCCTTAGGGCTCGTCACGACCATTTAGAAAAGCACGGGGCCAGGGGAGTAGTGGTACCTGCCTCTGTCCGGGGCCTGGTTGGTCTACGTGGCCGGGGGCAAGGTGCCGATTATCCCCAGGGAACTGCTGCTGTCACCCGTCTGCTTGCTTCTGTTTGCAACCCTCTCTGAAAGGAAGTGCATTCAGATCTACTAGCCTGGGACTGACACCATTTGATGCTGGGGTTTAAATGGGCCATCCAGAAAAAGCTGTCTCGAATCTTTAGAAACGTCATTCTGCTTGCGTTTGTTTTTATTTATCTTTTATTTTTTGTGTAAAGGTAGCCTCTGGAAGGAATGAAATTGTAGAGAAATTTAAAAAAATATTACCCATTTCCCTGTCTTCTTCTTCTTTTTTTTTTTTAATTTTTTTTAACGTTTTATTTATTTTCGAGACAGGGAGAGACAGAGCATGAACAGGGGAGGGTCAGAGAGAGGGAGACACAGAATCTGAAACAGGCTCCAGGTTCTGGGCTGTCAGCACAGAGCCCGACGCGGGGCTCGAACCCGCTGACCGTGAGATCATGACCTGAGCCGAAGTCGGCCGCTTAACCGACTGAGCCACCTAGGCGCCCCTTCTTCTTCTTTTTTTAATGTTTTATTCATTTTTGAGAGAACATGAGTGTGGGGGAGGGCAGAGAGAGGGGAACAGAGGATCCAAAGCGGGCTCCGTGCCGACAGCAGCGAGCCGGATGTGGGGCTTGAACCCATGAACCGTGAGATCGCTCACGTGACCGTTCAACCAACTGAGCCAGCCAGGCGCCCTTCCTTGTCTTCTTAATACCATAATTATAGATTGCCCTCAGAAATTATAATAGTAGCCATCCTTTATTGAACACTTCACGTTAAATACTGTGCTAAGCACTTTACATATATAACCTCTTTTTATTTCTAAAACAATCCTGTGGGGAAAAAATGACATAGCCACACATTGAGACTGAGATTCAACTAAGAAATGACATGCCTTCAATTTCACTATGTTAAAACACAAAACTCATCTGAGTAACTTTGACGATCAACTTGGCTTTATTTCACAAATCATGAATCGGGCAACATCCCATTTAGCAAATAGAAAGGAACTCCTCTGAGCGTCGAAGAGGAAGGTTTATTAAAGGCAGAGAGGGAAGAGAGAAGAGGAAATCGTTAGTAAAGAATGCATTACTTAAAAATTTGTTAATGTTTATTTTTGAGAGAGAGAGATGGACAGAGCGTGAGTGGAGGAGGGGCAGAGAGAGAGAGGGAGACACAGAACCCGAAGCAGGCTCCAGGCTCCGAGCTGTCAGCACAGAGCCTGACGCGGGGCTCAGACTCACAGACTGCGAGATCATGACCTGAGCTGAAATCAAGAGTTGGACCCCAGACTGACTGAGCCAGCCGGGTGCCCCTGTGTCATTTATTTATGTTTTGAATTGGTGGTAAATACGTGACACTTGATAGTTCTTGAGGTGGTTCCAACTCCAGATATAAATAGGCTTTGGAAAGCACACAAATGAATCTATCCCCGAGGTCCTATTATGGATCTTCAGGACCAAGGTTCCCATGGCCGGCCCCTCTTCTTTTGTCCCCAGGGTCTGTCTGCTTCTCCTAGGCACATCTTATGTTCCCAGCTGAGACCATCACCATTTCACTAGATGATGTGTGTCCCTCATCCTGGCACCCTTTCTCCCAAGGGCGGATGCGGGGGGGGGGGGGAGGGAGAGAGAAGGAGAAGCAGCCTGATGTCTGTGGGCCCGGTTTCTCTCCTTGACTCTGCACCCGCCAGCTGGGAGGCTTTGGGGAAGCCCATTAACCTCTCTGGGTCTCGGTGTCTTGTGAAGGGATGATGCTGGACCCACGGGTCTCCTGAGAGACCATTTTAGCAGAAAGTTAGGGTGTTGATAACAATAACGACCATCAGCCTCCAGCAGGAAACATCCCCCCCCCCCATGCCGGTGGCGGACCGTTGGATTAATCGGGCGTAATTGTGAAGTGCTTTGGTAATTCCTACATCTCTGTCATGTGAGTGTAACTGCCTCACCCTCAGAGGTGGAGAGCATGTCTTCAGTTTTCAGATGATGGAACTGAGGCAGATAGGGCCATCGGTGGGCCATGGGCCGATGGCTTACTTTCTGCCGATTGCATAATTTGCACGGCAGGTGTATTGCCGGTGGAGTGACAGCTGATGTCACGGTGGCTGCGCATAGTCACCGGTAACATGGAGAGTTCTGCCCCACTTTGCTTTATGCACATAGACAGTCAGCCCCTGCAGAGGCTCATGTGGTTCCTAATGAGTTTTGTTAAGTTGGGAGAAAAGCCGGACTGTAGATTAATTTCAGCGTGCTGCCCGCCGACATTCCTCATTTAAAAGGTGCCAAAATTCCAAAGTGAACACAGAGTAAAAAATGTCCCCTTTACTCAAGGGGAAAACTGCCTCCTTGCACAAATGCTCTCTAAGGAATACTGCCTTCCTGATTTGACTGAAACATCTGCCTAGCACGAGTTCCCTCACCGACACCCCTTCCCGTTCTTTCTCCAAGTATTTCTGCTCCTACCCATGTTCTTTCTGTCTTCTTTCTTGTCCGAGGTGAAGAGACAGCTTTCCTTCTGCCTAAGTACAAACGCTTCCACCTTTCTGATCTTGAACGTGATGCGTGTCCATGGTAGAAAATTGGGAAAATGTGGGGATGCGAAAAAGGAAAAGAAAATCACGCACCATCCTAACACCCAGAGACAGGTGCCATTCATGTTGAACCCTTTCTGAGTTTTCTTGTAGCCACACTTAAAAAAAAAAAAAATCACACAACTGGCATTCTACCGTACATTAGTTTGAAGACCACTTTAAAAGAATTTAATATTGTTTTCCACGCCATTAAGTATTTTTGAGAACCTTATGTTCATGATGGTGGTCTTACTATGTGACTGTTGTGCTATAATCAATGAAATCATTCCTCTGTCATCTTGCATTTACTTTTGTCCCCTGGCCTCTTGACCCTGTCTGTGTGCCTTCACACGTCTGCAGTCTACAGGCACACCTTTGTCCTCGTCTCTACGCGGCTGTGTCCAGCGCCCTTTTCACGTTGGGTTTCACCCATTTCAGTATCTTTTATTTTTATCGTGTGACAGATCGGTTAAAGCAGAGGTCTGCATCTGCCACTTCCCCCTGATGATCAGGCCCCCACCTAGCATCCCAACTCATTTGTCCTCCGTGTGCCCCCACGATCTAACCCTGTTGTGTTGCACACATACACCCAGGCATCCTGTTCAAGGTCTCCTGTCTGCTTGTACCATCCACAAGCATGAGAATTATTCCTCTAAGCCACTGATAAAAACCTTAAACCTCAGCCCTGTGGCCCAACACGAGAGATGACTCACAAGACAACCCCAATCCATTCATTGACATTCTTTTTTTTTTTTTTTACTTAAATTTTTTTTAACGTTTATTTTTGAGACAGAGAGAGACAGAGCATGAACGGGGGAGGGGCAGAGAGAGAGGGAAACACAGAATCCGAAACAGGCTCCAGGCTCTGAGCCATCAGCCCAGA